GGGTCAGCTGCCTAATGTATGTGTGACTGGAGTAGCCTCTTCAGACCACAGCATTCTAGTCCAAAACTGGTCAAACATTTCACTTTTTCCTGAAAGATTTGTTGAAGTATTTTTTATCCAGAGTGAGTCCCATGTAGGTTTGTGATTAAAGGTGTAGATTTTACTTATTGTTTTACCTTGGACACATTTAGGAACATTCACAAAAGTATTAAAATCAGTTTAGATCATCAGGTTAGAGAATGTGAATACTTACTGGATAAAACTAATTYATAGATCAGTCCAAAGAAGGAAAAATATATGCTGATGGGAAATTGTGAAATTTTCAGCCTGTTTCAGATGTCATAAAGACTAGATTTAGACTACAATCCTCAGATCTCAAGAAGTTAATATAAATTAATACAAAGACCCATCATAAACACAGTCCTGCACACTGCACATGTACCTGGTCTTTGCTCCACTTCCTGCTTCCTCTCAACACTTTCTCATTCTCCTCCTCACCCTGCTCATCTGTCCCTTCCTCTTCACTTCTCTGACTGGCATCCTCCTCCATGACTAACTGGCCTGTTCAGCTGCTAATAACAGCGACACATTTTATTTAACTTTTCCAAGTAACTCAATGCAAATAGGCCTACAACATAAGGAAAGTTACACACACAGTGATCAGACTTACTGTGATGTAATTTTCTTGAACAAAAATAACTATGAGAAACATAACTAAGAAACATAACAAGAAAACAGACTATTTCCTGAAATATGTTTTAATGAAATGTGCCTTTTTCTGGTCAGTAAATATGGACTGATTTTAATTTTAGTTGATAAAACAGATTAAATATTTCTGCACATATGGTGAAACATTTCTGCTAGGCTTACGTGCAGAGCCTCCATTGCAAATGCAGCTTCCAGGAGCTATGGCCTGAAGGTCATCGGTGCCTGTCACAGTGGCAGAAAATCTGTTACTTGTTGTTATTTATTGTCCACCAGGCCCCTTATTCTCAGTTTTTATCAGAATTCTTGGATTTTTCTGTCTGATTTATTATAAATTACTGATAAAATTATAATAAAGAGGGATTTTAATATTCATGTAGATGATGAAAGTGACAGCTTAACAGCTTTTAGTAATTTAAGAGTCAACTGGTTTTACTCAAAATATCCACAAATAAAATGGCGTGTCACAATTCGGTCTCCCTCAAAGAGTACGAGGTGATAGGGGTGCTGAAAATTTTTATGTTGCCAGGCATATGATAACTGTGAGAGGAACAGGGAGAGGTAGTTTCATTGCCGGGCGAAGTGTGCACAATCAGAGAATAGAGCGTTTGTGGGCTGATGTCAACCAAGTATTTTTATAAACAACTTTTCCAATATATGGAAGAGACAGGTATTCTGGACTCCACTAACGAAGTACACATATGGGCCTTACATTATGTTTACTTGCAGCAAATTCAACAATTTGCCAATGAATTTGTTCAGCAGTGGAATCATCATGCCCTAAGTTCAACACACAATTTGTCCCCACTAGCATTATGGCATACAGGCATTTCAGAATCTCAGTTGGATGATGTAGCACTTTCTGACACTGAAGACTATGGTGTAGAATATGCCGTTTCAGGAAATATGAATATTTCATTTCAAATAAGTGTTCCGGAAAGCAGTTTCATTGTTAGTGATGATGTAATGTCTGAATTACAACTGCACTGCAATCCATCTCATAAAGATGGCAATTTTGGCATCAATCATTATTATTATTATTATTATTTTGGCATCAATCATTATAACAGTTTTATTGGGTTTTGTCAAGACTGCGATGACATTTTCACTTTGCTTTAAATGTACTGTATGATGGTCTATTAAAGTGGATTWTTCTTTGTCATGGTCTGTGGTCTTTGTCTGTGTTAGTGTTTTATTTTTGTTACTCTTTTTGTGTTCTGTCTTGTTCTCTGTTTATATTTTTCTATGTCAAGCCAATGCGTCCTATTTAATGACGTTGTAGTTCATTTACATTTTGTTAACAATCTATATAACTTAGAACTGTTAAAATCTTTTTTGTTTCTTAAGAGAACGTTTCTTTTTCTCAACCAGTGTAGTACTTTGTGGTAGTAACGTTATTAGTAATGTTAATACTTTTTATGTTATGTTAACCAGTCATATTAGTGACTGAAGGGGTTTAATAGAAGTCATATCAGTTAATTATAATTATTTCCAAAATATATGGTAATGCATTACACACACACACATATATGTGTGTGTGTGTGTGTGTGTGTGT